TTTTACAGCTAAAGCCATCTAAACTTTTAATGTTACATTTAATCTTATATACGAGCAATCTATCGGAATATATAAGTACTTATATATTCGAAATGGTGCTCAAAAATCAATTATCTTGTAATATAATCGGTATGTTCAAACAGCCGATATATGATTGATTGTAAGTAAAAATGTATAGTGGCTATAAATAAGTATGAAGATCAATTGCGAGTTTAAAGAATTTGGAATTTATTTCATAAGATTTACTTTTTTTTTTTTTAATATGAACAGTTTTTTTTTCCAAAAATTCAAGAAAATCATTTAAATTTAGGATTTTGATTTCTGTAATTATTATTCATTCGATGATTTTATTTCAAACTGTACGATTTCTAATCATTTTATTTTTAAAAATATTTTATTATATATTTTCCAAAGTTATTTATTATATATATGCTAATTATGAATTTTTAAAGAAAATATTAAACCTTCGATAATTTATATCCAATGGTAAATAATAAAAAAACTTTAATACATTTGCAAAATTAAATTAAATTAAGAAAACAGTGAATTTTCATTCTTTTCTTCTCAGAACCATATTATTAAACATTAATTGATTATCAATTGATATTAATTGATTTAAGTCTTCCATTTATTTTTGATTATCCTTTGATTTTGCTTGAATATTTTTTCGAGAATGATCAGAAATTTCTTAATGTCTTCGATTACTTTTATACCTTTAAATAAAACTTTAAAAAATTATTAATTTTCGTGTTCGATCATTAAATGAAGATTAAAAGAGTTTTCAATGATAGTAAATCATATTTTTAATTAAAATCAATGAACATTTGATTAAATCGACTTATTGATTAAATGAATTCTTGTCTGTATTATTAAAAGTATTTGCAACTGTTTAATGAATTTATATTTAAAATGAAAACGATTTTATAAATTGTAATTAAATTCGTATAATAAATCAAATATTTTGCTTTAATTATTGTTAAATATCTAATGAATTCAACATAAAATAATTCTATGAAAAAAATAAACAAAATATAAAAATTATTTTAATTCGAATATTTATTATTTAATAATATTATAATAAATATTAATATTATAATTATTTATAGAATAGTTATTTAAGTATTTTGTTTTATGAATGGAAATTAATATTCTATAATATATTCTAATAGAAAATCATATAACCTAAACACATTGTTTTTTATTATTATTTTTTAATGTAATTTATTATTTTATTGCATTCATTCTGGATATTTCGTTTTTGCATGCTTACTAAGATAATCTTATTGATCATTAAGATGACTCATGTAGGATTTGAATTTGCTATTTTTCAAAATTTCTCTAATCAATCTTTTGATTTGTCCAATTTATTTTTGATTTGTCCAATCTCCCTTTTAAATTAATAATAAACGTCCGAATATCTATCTCCAAGCAAAGTCACAATTCTAAAATCATGTTCATGATCTAAAATCAAATTATATCAGATTTCTGAGTAACAAACATCTATCTTTAAGAATAAATACATAATTTTCAATATGCGCCTTCTTTTTTTATCTAAATTGACGTTTTATTTTATAGAGGCTTATTGCTAATTGTATTAATTTGCAACTCGAACTAATTCATATAATAAATGTTTTATATTGCAATAGAATTAAAATCTAATCTTAAATCTTAAACATTTTTTAGATAGTAATAAATTTTTCTTTATTAATTGGATACTAAAAATAATGCTCGTGATGCACGCCAGATTTAGAAATTTTTTCATTATATTTTTAAGTGTTTTTTTCAAATTAGCTTTATATTTTTACATTCTCTTAATCGTTTATTGAAAAATGTTTCTTAGATAATAATATTAAACATATAAATAATCTAAATAATATAATATTTGTTTCTTAAAAAGACTTTTTAAATAAAAAAGTTCAATAAATAATTTTTTGCACATTTTTTGCATATGAAAAAAATTATTTTAGAATTATAATATTATTTTGTTATTTAACAATTTTTTTTATTTATTAATTATTTATTAATATTTAATAATTATTCAAATTAAAAAGAAGATCTTTTTGTTATTATTTTAAAAATAAAATTTCCTAATTTAAACTTTTAAAAGAAATTTAAAACCTATGAAATTTTGATTTTTTTAAGAATATTATATTTCCATGTTTTCGTTTGTTTCTTGAAACAAACAAATTTATTTTTTTAAAAATGCAATATGCAATTTTCAAATCAATCAATAAAATAAACTATTAATAAAAAACTAAAAGCAGTAATCAAAGAATTTATATTACGATAACAAAAAAACAATTCAGTATAAATATTTATTATTCAATCATCATTAAAAATATGTATTACAAATATATTAGTTTCATTTTGAAAATGACATTTATTATATAATTCTTTATTATATAATTTTTAACATTAAAAATTGGAAAAAAGTAATAACAGTAGTGAAATTTAAAATGAAAATAGGAAAAATAATAAATGTTTTATTATATCTACTGTTTGATAAATTTTTAATTTTAATAATATTATATCAATAAAACATATATATATGATTTCTTTTATCTTCATTTAAAAGTTTCATTTCTATTACTTGCTCCTTTCTCTTTCATAAATATTCAGATTTTGTTCGACAATTATTTCGAATATTTATTTTTCATTGATGAATACGCGGTTCAGTATTTAATAGTTTATATCTATAAATTATCAATCATTATACAATTTTTCTAATAATTTTGGCTAGAATAAATATAAAAAAAAATATATTATCATCATTATATTTCACTCATCTACAATATAAAATTAGTGAAATTAATCAATTATTCTTTAAACTATCATACACTAGATTTTTATATAATATATATTATATATTATTTTATATAATATATTAAAATGTATTTGATTATTATATATTAAAATATATTAATATAAATAATATATTATAATATATTTTATATAATATATTAATCCAAAGATGAAAAATTAATATAATATATTAATCCAAGATGAAAAAGTATCGAAAAGTTATGAATTTAATTTTCTATTTTCTATTTTCTTATATTTTTTCTGTTTTTTGATTTTTTCTTTTTTTTTTTTTTATTAATATTTCTTTTACGAAGAATGAAAATCCAATGAAAATCAAAAATCATTTTACCGTGTGTCATTCGAATCAAATTTATATTCATTTTGCTAAGTTTGTTGAATTTTTAATTTTTATTTAAATGATCAACATTACGAAAAATTCAATTAAAATTAAAAATCAGTTTATCAACAACTACTGATCAGACTATATCAATCAAAGAACCAACTTTTATAGATATAATGACAAACTACTAATAATATTTATAATAATAATAATATGTTATAATACATTAAAACATTGTAAAAAATTAATTATCAATCTTCTCAATTAACAATTATCCTCATCTGCGAAAAGACCGATCATTCATTTATACTATCTAATGATATCAATAAAGCGATTGATTAATCATTCTTATGGTAAACACTGACTTCCTGGATTTCCTCAGGCTTCATATCTATATCGCCCCAACCCCATTTCATATCTTCGAGATTGTAGTAATGAACAGCTTCCTTCTTATCATATCTACAAATTGAAATTTTAGATTTGAAAATTCCATAATTAATGATAAAATTTATTTTACAAATATTGACAAAAGAAACAATTCATTTAATCAATTTATATAAATGAAGTTTTTTTTTATTTTTTTTAAATTAAGATATATAAAATGTTTATTTTTTATAATTGTTTCAATCCTTCCGATTCCGGTAATTATATTGTTTCCAGTTTTAAAATTTTTTAATTTCTTCTTGTTTCTTTTGAATAAATGAAAAAGTTTCTTCGAATCTTAAAAATTTCTATGTTCATATATATTTTAAAAGCTATATTAAAATAATTAATAAATACTATTCATAGTTAAATTAACTATTAACTAAGTCTTTAATTATTGACTAATCTTTAGTTATTATAATCTAAAATACATTAATGTAATTAATAATAATGTCGACACCTCGATCCGTCTCCAGTTCTAGCTGCTCGTTTTCTAATTATTTCATCGGGAACAGTCTTCAAGTCATATGCCAATCCCAATCGAGCGCAGAAATCGATGAACGCAGTGGTAAAATTGATATTATAGGTACCAAATTCACTAGTTTTATAGTCCCACGGGAATACATGGTGATAATTATGCCATCCCTCACCGTATGCAAATATAGATACAATTTTGTTTTCTACTGGACAAATGTTCCTGTAAATTTACGTAAAAGTCGAGAAATTTATTTTTTTACTCAACTGATAATCATTGGGAAACCATATATTTTCGATTGACATAAAATTTGATAGAAGGAGAAAGAAAGGATGGAAGAATATGAATCTTAAATTTTAATTTTATATATTAATTAATTTCTGAAATATTAGTAAAAAAAATAAATTTCGATAAAAAAATATTGTATTCTGTCTATACAGACATTCTCTATTAACTAATTATTTTCATAATCATCAAATATATAAATATATCATCAATGATATAACAATAATAATAAAATATTAGTGGTTATTCTTAGTTCGCATAGTACGTAAGTACAATACATATTGAAATATATTTTTTGATTACTGAAATTAAAATAGATAAAAAGAAATAATAATCAAAATAATCATTGATTAAATATTTACTAAACGACAAGAGGAAAATATCTATTCTAACTTTGAGAATATTTAATGGATTATTTTCAATTCAATTAATATCATACTTTCACTAATCTACTGATTACTTAAATTACTTAAATTACTATTAATTATTTAATATATATATATTAAATATATGTATGTATGTATATAATAAAAATAATAAAAATTTCTATGTTAAGTTGATATTTTTATTAAAATCTTAAGTAAATATCGATTTTTTTTAAAATCACTATGATGGATAAAATTCAATTAATTAACTTTTATTGTTTATTATTATGTCGACAATATTTAAAATTTCGAAATTAATAAGTTTATTTATTAAAAATACATGTGTACATATATAATATTCTAAATACGATTCAATATTAACTACAAGAATATATAATAAAAAAAATAATATAATAATAGTATAAAGTCTAAAAATTCAATTATCTATCATACGATTATTTTATATTTATTATTAAAAATTATATAATAGAATATAATTTGATATATCATTTCAATTTCTAAAGAAAATCAAGAACAATAAAGAAAATATTGCAATTTTATATATTAATTATTATTATTATATATATTTTATATATTAATTATTATTTTATATATTAATTATATTAATATTTATATAAAATGTAATATTTGTAATTTAAAAAAGAAATAATTACAATGAAAAAGTTTTAATTTCATTTTAGATGTGAAATATATTATAAAATAATATATAAATATTTTAAAGCAAATTAGAAACAATTAAGTAATACATATAATTATCAATTTCACTAAAAATAATTATTGTAATATAATTATTAAAATCCAAATAAATTAATTTCTTACATGTCGTATGGTTTCATGCCCCATATATGAGCAGCAGAGTTTACCATCCATGTTACGTTCAAAGAAAAAACGTATCTTGCTAAATTGCTGTACCAGGAATATGTAAATTTTTCATTCCAGAAATAGTAGGGTATCCATGTAGGGATCACAAAGCACAAAAAGGGCATCAGCACGACATAGAATCTGAAAAACATCAAAAAGAAAAGTAATATAAACAGATTATTGATACGTAACAGAAACAGAGTTGCCGAACATATAGTATTTTTCCTTTCTATTACTAAGTGTGGTTCAATTTTCGTTTAAACTCTGCAAATTTCAATATGAGAAAAATGTGTATCATATTCCCATTGCTATTCATGTAAAGATACATGACATGATATATTGCTTTATTTTGATAGAAGTGATCATGTGACTATGATTAAGCAGTGATAACAGTAATGCAAAAGTTTAAGCAGTACATATTCTCTTTTCGCAACTACTGATAGAAAAAAATAATATACTGTCCGTGGCCGGTAACTTTTATTAATTTATAATTTTCAATATTTGATAAGTTGTTTTTCTTTTTTCATTATTTAATGCAATTTATTTTTATATTATTATCAAAATTTTTCAAAATAAATTAATTCATAATTAATTTATAAAATAATTTAACAAAATTTATATTTATATTTATTATTTACTTTATTTTAATAATTATTTTAATAATGTGTGTAGAATAATATATTTATAAAATAAATTATTTTAAAATTTGTTATTTGTGATTTTAGAAAAATATAAGATAATAGTAATAATATAAAATAATAATAATA